CGTCCATTACCGGATGTAAGGAGTTCTGACCGATGCTCATATGAGGTTTCAGTGCGGCTGCCAGCTAGACAGGCAGTCCTGAAGCAAACGCAACAAAACGACTTGGCAGGGAGTTCGACGAACAAAGCTCCCATTCCCCGGATCAAAGCTTCAGAATGTATTCAAGATGTTCTCAGCCGCGGTGTTAGGTCGGCTCTGGCCGACGTGGACATATCCTGGTCCCCCCTGCTACTGGCATTGCCAGAGACCTGGCAGCTGCACCGTGGAAGCCACCTAACCTGCGGCGTAGAGGTGGGGCCTCTTGGGGTGGCCTCTTCCTATATACTCTACTATATCCTACTATGATGGAGCAGTTTCCATGTTCCTTTTTCCTTTCCATTATCCCTCTATACCCCCAACATATTCCCTTGTCCCCTACTTCTTCCATACACTATAGTAGAGTATAACATATATTCTAGTATATTATAATCTACTATATACTACATGCCCTAAACCCTATAGACCCTATAACCCCCCAATATTTTCCCTTATTCAAAAATTAACCCGGTAAAGCCAATGCAGGTTCTTCCTGCGGCTTCTGAAGGCCCGGAGCTACGATTGGAGCTGCCGCGGGCAGATGGAAGGCGCTTGAGTCGCAACCCCTTGGTGCTTAGGGTTTAGGGTTTAAGTAGGGATTGGGGGAATGTATTATGGGCATTATTATTGGAGCATATAGGGATTAGTAGAGGGATCCATTCCCCCCATTCCCTACCAAGCACCAGGGTGACCACACAGACGTGGAGGGAGAGGAACAAAGAGTTTGGGGACTGGAAGGGAACTACATCCATTTTTATTGGGTTTTGGGTTCAACTTTTGCGCGATCATGTGGAGTATCCCAGGTTTCGATGGGTTGTAGAGCGCATCAGGGGCCGCTCTGATTGTTGTTCACGCTTTGTTTCTATCAGGGCTGTGGGGAGAAGCTCGGCATATGAGGGAAATCGGTGGTGAAGCTACCAGCTGCGCAAGCATGTCAAGAATCCCGTGCAGTTCAGTGAGGGTTCTCGGAAGAACCCTGTTGTGCCAGAGGCACGATTGAGCTCTCCATGCCGTGCATTGCAGGATCCTTAAGTTCGAGTGGACTTTATCGAGGGGCGCACGATGGCCACTTAGCCTGTTTGGTTGGAGCTGCGTAAAAACGTGCCCGTGTGCAGGGACCCACAGTGGCATGCGTGCGCCTTTGAAGTGTTTTCAGATTAAACACATGTGTTGCCCATGTCTCTGGTACAAGACAAGCCGCCACAACGGACACATCTTTGCGACAGGAGCAGACGACACGTAAGGCAGACCGATCATTGTTGAATTAGCAGGTCCTAGAGCACGCGACTTTGTCGGGGTGTGTAGGAGGGGCTGTTGAGGAAAGTGTTCGGCCTGGGTTTGTAAGAGCCTGCTTTTTGCTGGCCTCAAGTTTGCCTTCAGCGTGGGATCCTGAAGATCTAGCCTTCAAAGCCTACCATGGCCCATCAGATGCTGTTTCGGGCTAGGTTGTTGTCACACAAGGTGGGGTGGAGGTGTGTGTGGAAGATAAGTGAAACAAGTCTTAGAGAGCCACTTCATCGAAGCTGCTTTGCCCAAGGATATTGCCCGAAGGGCGGGAGATATCTTTCGAAGAGCAGCCTGAGGATGTTCTCAGCTTGGTGCTCAGAGAAGCAAAGGAAATCCTCACTCATCAGCTGATTGGTTCCATCCATACTCATGCCTGAAGACTGGCCACCGAAGCCGCAACGCATGCTCTGGGGTTGTGGCCACCAGAAGGGCCCGCCAAATAACAGTCTTTCATATCCAAGTAGCCTTCAGCACCATTCAGCGCTTCTGAATCTTGGAGTTCTACCGTCGTCTTACCTTTTGAGTTCTTGGTTCAACCATACGTGACCCCTTCCCACCCCATGAAGCTTCATCATGCCTTTGGGATCTGAGGCCCTGAGCAGGAGTTCCTTTGGGAACTTTTGGGTCCACCCTGATTCCTTGGCACAACTGAAAAAAGAGCGCATCAAACGGGGATTCGAGTTCGCAGAGTTATGGGGTTTACAACAGTTGCAGTGCAGTATAGGAGCCCCTTTTAGGAGTCGTGCAGCTGCGGGTTCTATCTCGTTTTTAGGGCCATGCCAGAGGAACGCCCAAGATTTTGCAAATTCACGCGCATGTTGTCATGAATTGTGAGCCACAAGGCCGAAGAAGCATATAGTGAGTAGCCTAGCATGCTGAAGGATTCCCTGGTTTATAAGTGCATATTCGGGAAGCATGTGTAACCGCTTAATGCCAAAGGTCAGTGTCATGCAGCGAAATGCCAGGCCGTTGTCGAAGGCGTCAAAACGCAGTTGCGACCTTAGTCATAAACTGCCACCCTGCAGCGGCTGAGATTTCGTCATGTAGCGGGTCATTCAAGCATTGGGGCCGTGCTGGCAGTGCTGTTGCCGTACCTTTCCTAGCCGCAACCTGGAAGTTTGAGCCAAAAGTTGAGACTATCAGTTGCTGATGATGTTGCCATGGCTCAAGCTCCCAGGCAAGTCTCCAAGTCATTTTCCACCTGGGAGGGCCCCGACTGGTAGCCATTGCTGCTTCACTGGATAGGTTCCGCTTTGCAGCTCGGTTTTGAGTGAATCTCAACCTTGTGTAGAGGATGGCTTCAAGTGATGCCATCGCATCCACAGCACAGAGGTCAGAGCCGCTGGTTGAGCGTGAAAATTCAGAGGTAGTCGAGGACGATTTCTACAAGAAAGAGATCAAGACAATGTGCAGTGTCGGTTGGCCGATGCTTATCAGCTTTTTCTGTCGATTCGGTATGGCTTCTGAAGACTCCGCCTTTGTGGGACACATCACATCTGGAACGGCGAAATTGCTCAATGCTGGACCTAGTCTTCTTAGGAATGGTGTCGTTTGGAATATGGGAGCCGCTTTGCTGGGCTACGGGTTCCTAGCAGTAAAAGGCACCAATGAAGGCGCCGTGGGCTATGGACCCGTTGATTACTTAGCAGCTGCTGGGCTATCTGATATGGTCACAAACATCCTGATCATTCCGCCGTTGGCCTTTAACCAAAGCCTCAACGCGCTCGTGAGCCAGGCCATGGGATCTGGCAGCAAGAAGATGGCCGGCACTTGGCTGCAGCTTTCTTTGATTTGGTTGACCCTTGGCTACGCGTTGACATTAGCTTCGTTTTTCTTTGTCTCCCCCATGCTGAAGCTTCTGGGCTTTTCCGAAGATGTTTGTGAACTTGCCGGGATGTACGCGAAGTACAACATCTTCTGGCCGATCCCGAATGGTTGGTACCAGAGCATGCGTTTCTACTTCCAGGCGCAGGGCATCACAAAGCCAGCCATGTACAACAACATCATCTTCCTGGCTTTAAATGCATTGCTGAACTGGATTTTTGTCTTCGGCGGACCTTTCAGGGCCTATGGATGGTATGGTTTTGGATTCATTGGGGCGGCGCTCTCGCTGAGCTGTTCCAGAACCTTGCAGCCACTGGCTTACTGGCTCTACATGTTCTGGTGGCGAAAAGCCCACCTCGACACTTGGCCATCCTTGTCCCAGAAGACCTACCTAATGAAGGAGCACGTGAAGAGCTTTATGGCCATGTCTTTGCCGCAGATGGGCACGCTGATTTTTCAAGCGTTTGTTGGCCAAGCCACCACCCTGATGATCGCAAAGCTGGGAGAAGAGGCGGTTGCGGCCAGCTCGGCGGCGGCCGCTGCGACGATGGTCTTTACAGGCGGCCTCTCTCCCACACTTTCGATGGTCGGAGGCATGCGCGTTGGATACTATTTGGGTAAGGGGCAGGGAGAGCATGCCAAGAGTGTTGGGATGCTGGCGCTGCTACTTGGGGCTATGATGACAGCAGTCATTGCTGCCATTTACCTTGTTTGTGGGAAGTACATCCTGCACGTGGTATCCAAAGATGAGAGGGTGGACGTGCCAGCAACGACCATCCTTCCGGCCATAATGATGAATTTGATTGCCTCCATCATTGTATCCGTCGGTACTCAGGGAATCTTGACGAGTCAAGGCCGCACCAAAGCGGTGACGTTTCTGTCGATGGGATTTGAGCTTCCCTTCTCAGTGGGCTCTACCGCACTTATGGTCTTTTATTTTGATGCCTCCTTAAATCTTGTCTACTGGGCTCAGGCAGCTGTTTCCTTTGTGGAGGCTGCTGTGATTCTAATCGTCATCCGCCGGAGCGACTGGGCGGCGCTTGCTCGTCAGGCGCGCAGTCGGCAGGGAGTGGAGCAGCCCGACGAAGATGCAGAAACTGGGCGGGGCCGCAACTCCACCTTCGGCGAGATGCCTGACGATCTTAGGGCAAGCGGCATCTCTTTGCAGGAGCCTCATGCGGAAAAGGACGCAGGCGCTGAACCCAGCACGGATGACCCTTCTCTTGGAGGTTGAGAACCATGCAGTAGGAAGCAATCACAGTGCTGTCAAGCGGACCCCATGCCAATGGTAAAGGTATGCAAAGATGTGTGCAAGACCGGCTCACTCGATCTTCACAGTGAGGGGTAGTGTTTCGACTTTCGGGCGCTGTTTGATGCCGTAGTTGTACAGGCAGCGCGGCGGTGAGTCCCTGCTGATGCAGTTCAGTTGCTCCATCCAGAAAACAAGCGTAGTCAGAGAGGAGCAACGAGAGCCTCTGGGCATGCATTGGCGAAGTGGATCTTTTCGTTGGCCAAGAGGCAGGAGTCTCATCATGGCCTGCCCATGCCCATGCAGGGTCTAGAATTCAGGATTGTTTTCCCGGCACAGCTGCAAAAACTGCGTGACTCTGCAACTTTGCAAAGATTCAGCGAAAACGAAGGCATGTGTCAGACGAAGCATTGAAGAGGGGTGAGAGTGTTGCAGAGATCTGTGCCACCGTTGACCTGGAGCTGCAAACCATGGTGCATGTGGGTGGTTGTCAAAATTATGGTCCCTTTTTGGGTCCCTATTATAATACGGCACCTAATATTTAGGGTACCCAAAAAGGGACCATAATTTTGACAACCACCCATGTAACAATCTGAGCCAACATGTAGTGGTTCCAATCTTGTAATCATTACGTAGCTTGTCTTTCAACAGCGTCCAAATAAGTTTCACATGCGCTTGTCTTGAGCGGAATCTTGGAACCACGGTTGGTCAGATCGGCCAAATAATTTGTATGTTTTCTCCCTCTATATCCCAAATATAACCGAACGGTTCCACGCCGTGCGTTTTGTCATCCACTTTCGTTCGAAAGTGGTCCTGGCCTTTCCACATGTCAATGTTGCAGTCTTATCCTTGCTCCTATTCAGGGGTGGGCAATCATAATAGTTGTAACAGTAGTCAGTAAAGAAAATCAGAGAAATAAGAGTAAACAGGAATCGGAATGGCAGCAATATTTTTTATGGCTTCCTGAGCGTGGCAGCCTGCGTTTCAATTTCATGTACATTTGTTTTGCCGGCTGATTGGCCATTATCCACTAAACGCTGTACAACCCTGTATATCCTTACATAGTCTTTAATATCCCTATTGAATGGCCAGGCGCGAGATCGTCGGGGAAGTCATCGAGACCCTCCACGCGACACAGCACACGGAACATGAAGTCATGAGACATGGACAGCAGAATGCCAGCGCTGGTCACCTCATCTTGGCACAGCTTCAAAAGTTGACTAGAAGAATAACAGCAGCAACGAGCCCAGCATGCACAATCCTTAAGACCGTTCGAGTGACATCCCGCCGTGTACAAATCTTGCCTGAGTGCCGAAGACCGGCAGCGCAGGTAGGTAATTTGCTTGTTAGCATGCGGGAAAAGTTGGCCTCTGCAATTTTAAGGTGGAACTGTGTTTGCAAACTCACTTCATGGAGTTGGGCAAGCATCCAATCTGGACTGTAACGCCTCGCGCAGACCCACGAGTTGGCGAGGGCCACTTTCCACGCCCAACTGTCGGCAGCCAGGCAGCTGCTAGCGATCTCAAGCTTGTGTCAGTAGTTGTTTGTGCAGGCTTGTGCAGGTAGAAGTTTTCCGGTTGAATATGAAGTTGTAGAGCCAAGGGTTTTAGAGTCAAGTTGAATGATCCTGTGCCGACAAGCAGTATTGATATGCTCGAGATGGTAGGGTCCTGACATTATCCCGTGGGGTCAAGATGACGTGCATCTTGGGCTCATGCTCGCATGAGTAATAATATGTAATTGCAATATTAATAGTAATAGCAGTAATCATAATTGTAAACATAGTAAGAAGTAATACTAGTAGTAGGAATAGTAGTAATAGTAATCATATTTCCTTGTGGCTTGTCGTTGACATTCGCTCTGCTCCCATTTGGCTTGGATGCTAGCCTGAGGTTCAGGGCTTAGTTTGTCTAGGATAAGGGTGTAGGAGTGCAGGATTTGGAATACAACACAGCAGCTGGCTATGAAAAGTTGGGTTCAAGCATCTTCTCAGCCAAGGGTGCCAAGTTCCTGTGAAAGGGTGTCGCAATACTTCCACTGTGTATGCTTGCAAGCGTCATTTTGGGAAGAGCTCGCGGCTTGGATGCTGCAGTTCAACCATGATCGTACGTGAACAATCATTGTCCACTCCAAACTGCAATGGATGTAGGCATGCACATCTGTGCCAAATGACTGCAAAGCTTGCCGCATACCCGTCACAAAACTGCGACAGACAACGGCACTCCACACAGCAACATGATGTGGGTATCATAGCTTCCCCAGGTCTTCAGGTAATGCCCTTTGTACGCAGACTTGGGCACGTTTCCGAACAACTTACAGTGTTGGTCAGCTATCTCACGCGCAAAGCTGCAGCAATAGCAGGAGGAGCAAGGCATTATCCGCGTAGGGCAAAACCATGGCGTTGCCTACAAGCTTCCCCCTTGAGTATGGCCGGGGCCTGGGCAACGGACCCTCCAACGCCCACCCTTGATCACGCTCCTAAATGGAGGACCGGAGAAAACTCAGGAACTGAATTCGATGTTTGTTCTGCAGTCGTGTACAGTTACTGATGGCTAGCTGAGGATGTCTCATCATGGTGCATGCAATGATGTGAATAGATCTTCAGCTTCGAGGTATCCTGATGATGAAGGAGACCATCACTTGTAAATCGCTTGCAGGGTTGTATATCGTTGGTAAGATGGTCTGAGTGCCGCGCTCCATGCATGACTCCCTTGGTAGTTTGTTCATAAACACATACCCTTAAGATGCACTTGATCTGAGTGAGCTAGAACACGACCTCCAAATCAAATGTGGCCCTGAGGCCTGTAACCCAAAACCCAAGACTTTGAATTCCAAGAGGCTTATTACCACTACTATTTTTACTAGTATTCCTATTATTACTATTCTTTCTTTTTACAACTATTACTATTATTATTGCTGTTATTACTTTTTACAACTATTATTACTTTTTACAGCAATTATTACGATTATTACCAGTTTTAAGCAAGGTCAGGGATTCGATTTTGAGAGGTTCAGGATTGGACCCCAGCACGAGACTCTACCTTGACTCTGCAGGACTTTCAGAGCCTCTTCAAAGGAGGTTGCAGGTGAGGTTTAACCAGTACAGTGACTGCAAATTTCAAGTACACACATACTAGGGGCCTTACTTCTGTTCCGAACCGTGAACCTGCAATCCGACTGCCCGAAACCCACCGAGGCGACTGCATGCTCCCAGGCGGTAGGATGTTCGCTTCCTTTGACGGCGTTGACTTCGTCCGCTGGAAGGCTCCTGCAGAGTTGCTCAAACTGAGATTTGTGGTATCCATGTGGGCGATGGTCAAGATACCTTTGAAGGAAAGATCTTATAAACAGACCTCGAATGTTACCATAGGATTTGGTTGTCCTCTTAGTCATGAGGCGGCACGCAGGGTAAACTGCACTTTCTGCAGGGTGGCGCTAGACTTGCTAGATCTGCGGTAGGTTTTCTGTACCAGCAGTAGGTGTCATGCGAGCATCCAGCTTGACTATGGGCAGTTGCATT